CATCATCATCCTGGCCATCATCACCATCACCCGCATCATCATCATAATTTTCCCTCACTGTCGATCTCACTATCTATATCACAATCGATCTCACAATCGACGTCATTATCATCACCACCGTCATCATCAACAGCATCATCATCATAATCATCTCCATCATCACCATCATCACCATCATCATCACCATAATCATCATCACCATGACCACCATGATCACCATCATCACCATCATCATCATCAACAACATTGTTGTCATCATCATCACAACCATCATCAACATCCTCATCCTCGTCATCATCATCATCCATATTCATCATCATCAACAACATCAACATCATCATCACCGCCACCGTCATCATCATCATCCTCATCATCATTATCATCATCATCGTCCTCATCGCCACCACCATCATCAGCATCCTCATCATCATCCTTATCCTCATCATCGTGGTCATCATCATCAACATCATCATCACAATCATCACCACCATCATCATCATCATCATCCTCATCATCATCCTCGGCATCCTCATCATCATCATCTTTCACTGTCGATCTTGCTTTTTATTTTATAGTCGAACTCACAATCGACAACATCATCATCATCCTCGTCATCATCACCATCATCACCATCATAATCATCAGCATCATCACCATTTACACCATCATCACGATTATCACCATCATCACCATCATCACCATCATCAACATCATCACCATCATCATTTTCATCAATCATCACCATCACCATCACCATCCTCATCATCATCATCATCCTTATCAGCATCGCCATCATCACATCCACCATCATCATCATCATCCTCATCATCATCATCATCATCCATATCATCACCATCCTCATCATCTTCATCATCATTTTTCTCCTCCTCATCATCATCATCACCATCGGGACACAGGCGGGGCACCAGCAGCGGCACACCAGCGGGGCACCGCGCGGCACTGTTCGCCAGGAGGGGCACCGGGACACCGGCGGGACACTGGCGGGGCACCGCCCGGTCCCGGACGCCATGTCGCCAAACATTTGGTCCGGCCGCGCCTCAGCCTGGGGCGCCGGGGCACCGGCGGGGCACCGCCCGGCCCCGGGCGCCGGGTCGCCAAACATTTGGCCCAGCTGCGCCTTAGCCACAGCTTCGGCTCGCCCGCGCGGCGCGCGCGAACACGAAACCGAAATCGATTTCCCGACAGTATTATACTGGGGGGCTGTCCATCATTCCAATCCCACCAGCCCTCTGGGCGTATGTGGTCTAAGTCATTTCCCTTTCCAACCTCCTGCCTTTCCCTCCTGCTCGGGAGGTTGTTTACCTCCTCCCCCCTCCCTGCGTGTGGACGGGGGGGCGGACCCATAACGGCGTCCAAGAAGATGGCCCAAGATGGTTCCAAGAGAGCCTCCGAGAGCGCACGATGGCCTCCAAGATGGCCCAAGATAGCGGTAGAGGGGCCAAGATAGCCTCCGGCAAGCGTCCGAGAGGCTTCAAGACGGCCCCAAGATAGTTTCAACTGTCCTCCGAGGCCTCCAAGGACCCCCCCAAGAAGATGCCAAACTCCTTCAAACACCTATGGACAATCAATGTTTTTTGTCTTCTGATTTTTTCGCCTCCGAAGGGCTCTTGTTGTTGAGACCTCAAGAAGATGGTCCCAAGATGATCCAAAACAGCCCCAAAAGGGGCCCATATGAGAGCCCCAAAACGGCCCCAAGAACGCTCCAAGAGCGGGCCACGATGGTCCCACGACTGCATTTTTGAGCTTCCGATGGGGGTGGGCAATAATTGCCTCCCCCCCCCCTCTTCTTCTTTAGCCATGATAGGGGCCAAGAAGACGGCCCCGAGATGCCTCCCAAACACCCCCCCAAAAAAAGCCCCAAGGGGGGCTCCAATGTCCTCCAAAAGAGCCCCAAGATGGCCCCAACACGCATCAAACGAGCCCCACATACGCCCCAAGAAAGCCCTCAGATGACCTCATGAGAGCCGCAATAAAGAGCACCATGAAGCTCCAAGAGGGGCCCACGAGAATCCCAAGAGGGCCCAGACCAAATCAGTGCAACAGCCATTACGAGTCATCGAAATACCCCTCACCTCTTCTCATCGAAGCACTATCGTAACTTGCATTGATTTCCATCTTAACCTTCAATGCGGACAGCTATGATGTGTGATGCTTGTGTTCTCGACGACGGCTGCGCGACTGCGTGCGTTATGCCGCCCCTGATTCACCAACTCCCCTGCTGATCGTTTCTGGATGGGCTGGTGGGGGTACGCGAAGCGTCAAGAATTCGATCTCCCCCCTCGCCTCCGATTAATGAAAACGGGCCCACAGCCATAACCTCGAACTATAATAGAGAATAACCTTCCAGGGATCATGAAGTTCGGCGTCGCGGAGCGATAATAAAAGTTGCCCGCCAGAGGCCAACATAGAGATGTTAACAGAGGAGCCAACAAAGCCGATGATATCTTGAGACATCCTTAACTTTTCTTCCTGCTCGTCATCTTCCTCTTCTTCCTCAGCTTCTCTCTCTATCTATCTCTACATTTATATTTCTATTTCTTATCCTCACCCTGCCCCCCTGAACTTGTTTATCGCTGGGGTTGCTTATCATTGGAACGCGAGGCACATGAGCTACCCTACGCGAGCACATACGCACTTACAATGACATCTAATAAGTTTTAAACTTTGGATTTGTGCGATCGCCTTCTCCTCTCCTCCTCTTGCTCTTTCTCCTCCTCATCCTCATCCTCCTCCTCTACCTCCTCTTCTCTTTTTATCGTCCTACGTATCTCTCTATCTTTCTCCCCCCCCAGGCCCCCCTGAACTTGTTTATCGCTGTGGTTGATTGCCCTGGGAAAACGAGGCACATGGGGAATCTCTATAGAAACCAATGGGAACCTCTATTATTATAGGAACCAGTAGGAATCTTAGGGGACCTATGAGAATTATTAGTATGCGCGCACAATTCTATTGGAAACCAATTGATTTTTTTTTGTATTTTTCAAAAATAAAAGCGAAGCTCGGAGGTGCGCCGCCGCGCGCGCGGCGGCGCACCGCTGAGCTCCACCTCTTCTATATTATTATTATTTATCATTACTAAATCTATATGTAAGATTCCAAAAACGAAATTGGAAATTTCTGGGGCCCTTTAAGGAGGCCGAAGGAACGCGGCTGCTTTTCATATTTTTATCATACAGAATTGAAGCGCGCGCGCGCGCGGCGCACCGCTGAGCTTCACTTCTACATTATCATTCGATATTAATAAATCAACATATAATTCCAAAAACGAAATCGAAAAATTCTGGAGCCCTTTAAGGAGGCTGAGGGAACTTGTCGGCTTTTTATACGATTATAATAAAGAACTGAAGCTAGGAAGCGCGCGCGGTGACCGGGTCACCCGCGCGCGCGCGCGCGCTTCAATTCTGTATGATAAAAATATGAAAAGCAGCCGCGTTCCTTCGGCCTCCTTAAAGGGCCCCAGAAATTTCCAATTTCGTTTTTGGAATTAAATGTAAATTTTTCATGTGAATAATATACGAGAGAAGCTCAGAGGCGCTCGCGCGCACCTCCGAACTTAAGTTCTCTATTATAAAATTATTAAAAAGCCGACGTGTTCCTTCAGCATCCTTATTAATAATAAAGGGCACCCGAACTTTTCAATTCCGTTTTTGATGATGTTTCAGAGAGGACCAAATGGGCGCGCAGAGGAAAAGGAAACCTCCAAAGTTCAAAACTTTTTATACTTAACTGTCAACGCTTAATGGAAATTAGCATTTTCATCTGCTCGTGTAGGGCATAGCTCATCTGCCTCGGTTTCCCTGGATGATAGTAAAGCACAGCGATGCGCAAGCTCAGGGGCCATGGTGAGGAGGAGAAAGCAAGAGAGAGACATCCTCGAGTATATGCTTGTTTCGCTTGGGACACCCTCGACAAGTTTTTCGCTTCGCTCGAGACATCCTCAAATAATTGCTGGTTCCGCTTGGGACACCCTCGAACCATTGATCGTTTCGTTTGAGGCTGCCTCCCAAAATTATTGGTTTCGCTTGAGACATCCTGAAAAAACGTGTTCGCTTCGCTTGATGTTGTTATCTCAACATAAGAAGGAAGTAACCTCGATGGTGAACTTTCCCAGTGATAATTAATGCAGTTCGGCCTCCGCGCCCCCCGTCTATATTTGAAACCCTATTAGAAGCCGCTCTTACATTATTTGAAGGGTGGGGTTATTGGATTTGTCCGTTTCATGTTTTGGCTTAAGTCATGTGGTCGTTTGTTTTCTTTGCCTGTGCCGCCCACAGCATCGCGCTGCCGTTGTCGAGGGGCGTGTTCCACTTCGATGCCCTTGTGAAGACGGCGCAGCAGCTCCAGGACGAACGACATGGCAATGAGGAGTCGAAGGACGCTGAGCGTTTCCTGCGTCTCTTGGACGTGGAGTCATGCCTCACCTTCGCCATGCTGGCTGACGCTAGCGTTGAGAACCTTGCTCTGACTAGGTTTTTCGATTGCGAAGACTTCGACAAATCAAGACAATGCCATGAAGTATTGCGGTTCTTCCAACGGGTGACCTACCTCTTCAATCACGGCGGTTGTTTGCAGACGGGTTTCACGCATCTGATGGTTCAGCACCTCCAGCGAGCACGGACCCTTTGGGTCGGCACTGGCCAAGCAGCAGTCCCGTATACACTTGGGGGGAGAGGAACAATGACGCCGGCTCTCATCAATTCAGCTTTGAAGCGCATGAAGAATTGGGTTGCCCTCGCAACGCTCGTGATCAGAGCAGAATTTCCAAACTTTGAGGCACTGGCCTCGATGTGCATTTTCAGCTTGGAAGGCAAAACCATCGATAAAGTTGTTGCTATGCCGAATTTCAGCGATCACATGGCCAGAGTTGCTCATTTATGCCAAGTCCCTGTGACGGAGCTGCGGGTTCAATATGATGATTTCTTGCCAGTCGCCCTGAGGATGGCCGAGACTGCCGGGGCGTCGACCATCGACGCGTGGAGGCTAGCGGTCGAGGCCATGACCCGCACCCGGCGCATTGCGATGGCGCACCCTTCAGACGCCTTGATGGCGTGCTTGGTGCGATTCGGTGGATATGGGCAAAGCTCGTCCGGCGTGGAGCGGCTGTTTCGCCAAGGGCCACATCACGGCCGGTTTCTGCCGGGCCGATCTCTCCGAGCAGCTTATCAACGACGAGTTGTTCATCATTTGCGACGTGGATCCCAAGTCGGACAATGAACTCTGCGAGGCTGCCCGGGTCATCTGGCGGGAGGTCTACAGGACCACTCGAACGAGCGACAGGCCTGTGCGAGTGGACGCCGGGCGGCCGCGACCAGTGTCAAGAGAAGACAATAGTTTTAGCTCGTTTTTGAAACGTCGGAGCAGCGCCATCTCTGACGCGGCCAGCAGCTCTGAGGCGAGACGCGCCAAGATCGAGGGGAGGCTGTCGACTGATACTGATTCGTGGACGCCCGAACACCAGAAAGAGGCCGACTTCCAGAAGGCCAAGCGCCTGAAGCAGCTCTTGAGCACGAGCGAGTTGAACATAGACAAGGACATGCCGCCCAACATGCGCGAGGCTGCTCGTTTATTCTCGCTGTATCAAGACAAGCTGACTGAAGAGTACATCAGTAAGAAACGAGCCGCCTCTCGAGCCGCCGACGACCCGGTCCTCCCTGTTTTAGCTGGCGCCAGTGTTTTCGTCGAGAAGAGTTTGCAGGACAAGTTCAAGGCGCCCTGTCACGTTCGCGTGTTGAGAACTTTGGATGCTAAGGTGGTCAATGATCGACTCAATGCGAACACCTTCATCGTTCCTGATGCTGTACTCCTACCACAACGTATCCATTGGGCACTAGTCATTGGTGGAGGAGTGGCGTGCGATCTACAGTTTTTCGCATCAGCAGGCGAGAGAGGTCGTTGCATGACCTTCCATGGCATTGCGCATCTCACTCGAGTTGCGTGGGCGTCCGACGAGTTCGTGAGGCTCCATCCCGAGCTTTACCGCATCATGATTTCGAAGACTACTACCTCCAATGGCGTTTGGAAGTGGTTCCAGAAGGGCGCGTTCATTGCCGCCGCCCACGAGAAGATTGCGAGGAAACGCCCGTCCGAGGTGATGGCTTTCGTGGCGGACAGGGAACTCGCGGCCCCGGAGCCCGGCGGTTCAACAACTAAACGCCCCGACCCCACACCCGTGATCCCCCCCTCCAGTTTTTTCAAGCCCATTGTTGTTGCTGTTGGGGGTGAAAACGCTACATCCTCTTCCACGTCCCCCCCATCATCATCCTCCCCCCGACATTATCCCCCCTCCTCCTTCCCCCTCCCCTCTCAGCCCCCTCCGCCCGCCCCTCCACCACCGCCAGAGCAGCGAGGGGGGGCGACTCCGTCCTGGGTGGGTCGGGGCGAAGACCTGGGGCCTGCGCGGCCGGGCAAGGGGCCGGCGCCCCTCGGAGGGCGACGAGGGGGATGAGGAGGATGAGGATAAGGAGGAGGCGGAGGACGAGGAGGAGGAGGACGAGGAGGCGAGAGGGAGGAGGGCGAGGAGGAGAAGGAGGAGAAGGCGGACGACAACGATGAGGAAAGCGAAGAGGACGACGAAAATGGCGACGAAGAAGGGGGCGACGACGACGCCTCGAGCGACCTGAAAATAGAAGGGCGATCCAGGGGACGACGACTCAGGGGGCAACGACGACGAGGACGACGACGACGAGGAGGACGATGATGACGAGGAGGACGAGGAGGCGGAGGAGGAAGAGGAGGGCAAGGACGAGGAGGATGAGGAGGACGATGACTCATCAGAGGACCTGGCGTTCATTCGGGCCTCAGCCAAGTTCACGGCAACAACGGCGCTGAAGAGTCTGAGCAAGCCGGTGAGAGGCATGTCGAGCGCTGGCTACTGAGTCCGGCCAACGTTCGGAGAGGCAGGAGAGGATGAGGACCAGGGGGAACCCGGGATGCCCTATGATGCGACGCTGCCATGCACCCTCCCATAATAAGTTCACGCAATCATCCTTTTCACGCCTGGGCGTGCGCCCTTGAAAGACAAGCGCCCCATGGGGCTGACATGAGGAACTGTGCGCTTCGGAATTCAATGAACCTGGCAGACTTTGTTGAGCTGCCAGTTGATGCTCATGTGTTTTTGATAACTATATCTTCTTAAGCTTCTCAGAAGAAACCAGTTCCCTACCTAGGCTTCGCTATGCTTAAAGGGCCGGGCAGTGGAAATCTTCCCGGGCGGTTCTCCTGGCATCCGCGCCGCGGTTCCCCCATGATCCCCCGCTTTGCCTAGCCTAGCTTAGCTTAGCTTAGCTTAGCTAGCTTAGCTTAGCTTAGCTTAGCTTAGCTTAGCTTAGCTTAGCTTAGCTCGGCTTAGCTTGGCCTAGTAGCCTAGCTTAGCTTAGCTTGAACATATTTAGCTTAGCATGGCTGGGCCTACCTTACCCTAGCTTAGCTTGGGCAGCACTATCACAGTATATCATAACATAGCATAGCCAAGCATATCATAACATAACATATCATAGCTCAACATATTACCATATCATAGCATAGCACAGCATAGCGCAGTCTAGCATAGTATAACATAGCATGGCATTGCATCGCTTAGCATAGCACACCGCAGCATTGCAAATCATAGCACATCACAGCATAATACAGCATATCATGGCATAGCGCAGCATAACATTACACATCATAGCATAGCATAGCAGAGCGCGGCATAGCATATCATAGCTTCGCCTATCATATCATAGCATAGCGCATCATATCACAGCATAACGTAGCGCAGCATAGCATAGCATAGCATAGCGAAGCATAACTTAGCTTACTCTATCTTAGCTTAGCGCAGCGCAGCATAGCGCAGCGCAGCATTAGCACAGCATATCAAAGCATATCATAGCCAAACGTAGCATCGCATAGCACAGGATATCATTGCATATCGTAGCATAGCATGTAAAGCGAACGCACCACCAATGCGAACTTGTAGATGTATATGTAGATGTAGGTGTAGGTGTAGATGTGGATGTATGTGTATGATGATATGTAGATGTAGATGCATATGTAGATGTATATGTAGATGTAGATGTAGATGTAGATGTAGATGTAGATGCAGATGTAGGTGTAGGTGTAGATGTAGGTGTGGATTTAGATGTAGATGTGAGTCTCGCTGCTGATGTTGATGTAGATGTAGATGCAGGTGTATATGTTAATAATATAGCTGTCGGTGTAGATGTAGATGTTACTTTCCTAGGTGCTCCAACTCCTCGGTAGGACATTGTGATGATTGCAAACTAAGGATTTCGACGCGCGCGCGCGGGAGACGCGCGCATGCGGCCCGCGTGGTATTACTTGATATGGATTAATGCCCTGAACGCGTGCCCGGCCCGCCCTAGCGACACGTCTGGCGGAGCGACGGCAGGGAGGCGTTATTCATAAGAGAACGGATGTGGGCGGATCAGGGGGGGGGCGCTCGTCCATTCCGCGCTGGCCAGAGGCCTCAGCGAGGCGGCTCCCGACCAGTGGGATGCCCAGGCCTCGATTTAGATTCGAAGATGAGGAGTGCTTATGAGGAGAGGGGGGAGACATCAGGAGAATGGATGATGGATGATGCTCGTCCATTCCGTTTGCTCGGGGGCCGCCTGCGACGGGGCCTGAGTGCCTGGCGGGCACCATCATCGACCACGCAAATGAGGCCCCTGCCTCGTCCTTCCCGTCTCGGGATCTTTCGGGATCTGGGGTCTTGAGCTCCTGTGGTGGGCGAGGGGGGGAGGTGATGCCCCCCCCCCCCTCGGTGTCTTGACCCAGAAGAAGAAGAAGCGCGGCGCCAGCGGCGTCACCAGACTGGGCGTCCTAGACCGTCTTGAGGCCATCTTGGGTCGTCTTGGGTTCATCTTGGGCCGCGTCGGAGGCATCTTGGGGTCATTTGGGCTCTCTTCTTGGGGGCATCTTGGACGTCTTGGATGCGTCTCGGGACCATCATGGAAATCATCTTGGGCCATCTAAGCCGTCTTGGAGGCCACCCTGATGATGGGCCGAGCCCTGCCTCCAGCAGGTCCGCGGGCAAACAACCGCTGACGGGGTCGAGACAGGGAAGGGGGGGGGGGGCTCGATGGCCGCCGCCGTTGCTCATGCTGCCTTCCGTGCGTCTAAGCTGAAAGAAGAAGCGGAGGAGGAGGATGATAATGATGATGAGGAGGAGGGCGCCTAGACAACAATGTCGCCATCGGCGCCAAGAAGATGGGATCGGATAGAATGGGCGTTGCGGATAAGATACTACGATGGGGGTGGGCCGGAGTGGGTCAGGATAATACGGGGCAGGAAGAGGCGGAACGAGGTTGGATACCACGATGGGACATCAGCAGGTGAGAACGAATGATAATAATAAGATGCACGTGCCGGCCGCGTGGGGCGCGGCTGCAGGGCCTGCCTGGAGGAGGCGCTCGCTGCAGGAGGACCGTCGGCCTGTGGACGACCCGTCAGAGCCTCGCCTGGGCGCGCCTGGACGACGTCGTCGTCGTCGCTGTTGTCCGTTATCGATTTTGAAGGGGGCCGATTTTGAAGGGGGATCAGCCCCCTTCAAAATCGGCCCCTTTCAAAATCGGCGCCCGGACCGGCCCCTTCAAAATCGGCCCCGGGGTGCTTTAGTATGAGGTTTCGCTTTCGCGTTGACGAGGGCCCCCCCCAAATAATGCCCAACAAGGCCGAACAACAAAGACGACGAGGCCTACCCCCGTCACGCCCCCTCCTCCTCTTCCTTCCCCTCCTCTTTCTCCTCCTCCCTCCTCCTCCTCCTCCATCCTCCTCTGAACCCTGCCATTATGACCCGTGACGGGGCGCTGATTATCGTTTAATCCTATCGATTAGCTACTTCTTCTTGGGTTTTGGGGGAAATTCGAGGGTTACCTTCGGATTTCCGAAGAATCTCAATACGTTCTGAAACAAAATTGCATGCAATATTATTCTTCTGGGGGGGCTGGCCTGGGGCTTGAAATTACAAGGTAACCCTGAAATTTCCGAAGAAGAATAAAATCTTCAAATTATTATTCTTGGCGTGCGCGGTCCTGCTGCTTTAGCATGGAGGGTGAATTTGAGGCGCGCAGCGTAAATTATTCTTGGCTGGGCGGGTGGCAAGGAGGGTTTCCCTGAATTTGCCGGTGGGGGACAGCCTATCGGGGGAAGCCTATGGAAGCCTGTGAAGGGCGGCCTGCGAGGGGCAGACTCTGGGAATCCTTGGGGATCCCTTGGGAATCCCTAAGGAATTTCTAAGGAATCCAGAGGAATCCCTAAGGCATCCACAAGCATCCCAAGGGAATCCTAAGGAATCCCGAGGGCATCCCTAGGAATCCCTAGGGAATCCTTAGGAATCCTTAAGGGCTCTTCAAGAATCCTAAGGGAATCCTGGGGGATCCCTTGGGAATCATCAGGAGTCCCTAAGAAATCCTTTGGAATCCCGAACGTGTCGTTAAGAATTCCCGCGGACTCCAGAAACCCTCGGGGATCCTTATGGCTCCCTCGGAAATCCAAGAAAAAAATCCTTGCGGAATCCTTGGGATTCAAAGCGGAATCTTCAAGAGTAGTCCCTCGGGGATCCCGAGGAATCTTTCGGCGCTCCCAAAGAATCCCTTCGGAAATCCTCAGGAATCCTTCGGGGATCCTGCGGGGTCTTCAGGGAATCTTTCGGATTCCCTCGGGGCTTCTTAGGAATCCCTGGTGAATCCCCAAGAAGAATCACTAGGGCACCCTAAGGAACCCCAAGGGGAACCTCAGGAATCTCTAGGACATGGCCCGGCGCCCTCCGAGGAATCCAGATGACTGTCACCTTGGACGTTTTCCATGCAGCGCATGCACGCCAGGTGACCCACGAAGGGGTGGGTCACCAGAACACTGGTTGAGAGAAACAAATTGCTTCACCTGCATCCTGGGCCTCGTCATGAGGCGACGCACTGCCACTCAATATGTTTGCCATGCGGCGCAAGCACACCAGGTGACCCACGAAAGGGGTGGGTCACCAGAGAACTGGTTGGGAAAAACCAATGGTCTCACTTGCATTCTGGGCCTCAACATGAGGCGAAACATTGCCACTCAATACGTTTGCCGTACGGCGCAAGCACACCTGGTGACCCACGAAAGGGGTGGGTCGCCAAAAAAACATGGTTTCACCTGC